ATTGGTATGGTGCTTAATACTATTTATTAGTAGTATTTACTATTATTTATTATTATTACTATTTATTATTGAACTAGTAGTTAAAAATTACTCATATTTGTGTAAATCTATTAATTCCTGGGGAACTCTATGAAATTTACATGCACAAAAAAATCAGTATTTCACTAATATCATTAATGTAATCATATAAAATAACTACTACTAAAAATTTAATTCTGTGCCATCTAGTAACATTTTGAAGACAATGCACCATCTACACATCTTTTCTCTATGCAGATGCCCTCAACTTATTATGAAATTACAGTTCAAGAAACTCACCATAAATTGAAAACACCATGAGTCAAAAATGCATTTTGTACCAAGTGGGGTGGCACACACCTGTAATCCCAGCTGCTTGGGAGGCAGAGGTAGGAAGATCAGAAGTTCAAAGCCAGCCTCAACAATGGCAAGGAGCTAAGCAACTCAGTGAAAACCTGGCTCTAAATAAAAAAATACAAAATAGGGCTGGGGATGTGGCTCAGTGGCTCAGTGGTCAAATGCTCTTGAATTCAATCTCTTGTACCCCCCCCCCCGCAAAAACAAACAAACAACAACAAAAAAAAACTCATGCGTTTTGTGCACCTAACCCAACATCCTAGTTTAGTAGATAGTACAGAGTAGGGTGTCTATTTTCACCATCATGATCCCATGTCTGGCGGGGATCTGTGCTCAGTGTCATGGCCCAAAATTGCCAGAAAGTATCATATTGCATATTGCTACTCCAGGAAAAGATCAAAATTCAAATCCACAGTGTCTGTAGTTGCTACTGAATACACATCACATTTGCATAATGTTAATTCGATCATCATTTGTCAATCACTTCTAGGTTTGTAGCTTTAGTACCAACTATGTACTAGAGACCATAAAATTGACATTTTGATGCACATCTCCTTCCTGAACTCACAGCCATGATTTCCACTTCCCACTTATTATCTGCACTTACGGGCATGCAGGTCTAATAGCATGTTTAAAAAACAGAAGCTCTCCTCATTCCTATAATCTTACTTAACCCATACTTTTCTCCATTTCAAGTAATGGAAATTTAATTTTTTCTGCTTTCTGGGCACAAAATTTTAGAGTTCTCCTTGTTTATGTTCTCTTCCACTCCACATCCAATCCATTAACAAATCTAGTGAGCTCCACCTTCAAGTAACATCTGAAATCTGCCCACTTCTCATCATGGGCACTTCTCTCTAGTCTTTTCTTCCCTGGCCTATCTCAATAACTTCCTCACTGCTCTCCTGATCATCTCCCCTTGTTTCACTACAGCAAAGGGATCCTTTAAAGCATATATCAGATCAATCAGATCATATCTTTCCTCTACCCAAACCCTTCAGGGGTTTTCAATGTTCCTCAGTGTTGAAGCCTAAATCTTTAATGGCACCTATAAAGCCTCATCTCATCTGTGACTTCATATCCCACTAATTTCCCCCTTGCTCACTCCACTCCAGTCACACTGCCCACTCTGTCCTCTTGGAATACATCTGAGATGCTCCAATCCCTAAATTAGGTTTAGTTTTGGTTCCTTTGTTCTGGAAGTACCTTTCCCCAGGTATCTATAAATATTACTTCCTGCCTTAATTATGGTGTCTGCTCACATACGATTTTTACCAATAAGCCATTCAATAGGGAGCCCCCTCTCTCTCCACACCTTGCATTTTCTGATTAGACATGGTTGACTAGCTCACCAGATAAACACTTGTCCTCTTCTAATTTTTTCCATAACACCTATCAACCTCTATCATACTACACATGTCCTTGCTTATTTACCTTACTCCAGAAGTTCAAGAAATTTATTTAAAAAAATTATTATATCACTTCACTTAAAAGAAAACTTGGTACATAACACACAATACATATTTATAGAACAAATGTGATTATGTAAAAGCACTAACAATAGTAGAAATTAAAATCAGCCATGAAAGGAAGGTAATAATTATATCTTAAGGTCCATGCTTATAAGAAAGACCATAAAAATTAGCACAAATATATATGATTAGTGTGATTATATCATGATTAATTATAAATGTGATTATATATGATTAATTTTTCTAAGAGATTAATCATGTCTTCAGAAGAAACTTGGATTGCATCAAAAAATATGATAAAGTGTGTGAGAGAAATGAAAGGTTGAATCTGGATCATGTAGAAGAAAAAGATTTATAACAAAAACAGAACATTTCTCTCATTTGCCCCTCCCTTATATGTGTTTGTCTTCTTTCATTAGATAGTGGAGTGTCTGAAAAGATGTCACTGAGAGTTCCTTCAAATGTGGTTGAAGGATCTGCCAGGGCAACATATTCAGTTTTGGGTGAGTCTCTCAGATCAACAGAAACAGCTGTCTCTCTCCACAATTCTAGTGCATGGGCTCACTACCCAGGATTAATAAAATCACTGACACTCAGCATTGGATTAAAAAAAAAAAAGAACACTAAGCTAAGGATTGCACTCTGTATCAGTTAGAAAAGGGGGTTCAATGAATGTTGTGTGACATGTGATGCCTGGATATAGTTTAAAACGTAAGGAGGGTCACAGTTCTGAACCCTCATCTTCAAGTGGTTTGCTAGGTGGCAATGCTTCCTAGTGGATTTTGAAATGGTTAGTAGTTCCATTTTATGAGATGCATGGTCCTTCAGAAAAGGTGTTGTCACCTGCCATTCATTTTTTGCCTGCTTTTTAAAACATCCTAGAAACATCTGTTTTCTCACCTTTTGCTTTTCTTTCATTTTTCTTTCTCACCTTTTGTGCTTTCTGGTTCTTCCCTTCTTAATTACTGTAGCATCTCAGTTATCTAGTCTTCTATTTTCCTAGGCCATCACAAACCACTTCTGTGTTCCTCTGATTTTCTTTTTTATGAATTTCATTACCCAGGAGATATACTAGGATCTGCAATGTACAACCTCCAGAATCTTTTAGATGCCCTATGGTTGTGGAGAACAAAATATGGTTCTTTTTGTCCCTAACATCTATGTCCTGAATTATCTGAATGAGACACAACATCTGACAGAGAAGATCAAGTCCAAGCCATCAGCTACCTTGTCAGTGGTAAGAGATTACCTCAAAAGAAGAAATGTCAATGGACCTCCTAACTATCTTGTGGTGAACTCAAATCAGTATCAGTATATTTACTTTTCTTGTGCTTTCTTCCTTGACCTCTGAGATATTTATAAATGCACCGTTTAATTTTGAAATAGTTGACATGTGGGGTTAGGGTTCCAAATATATTTAGGTGATTGATTTCTAATGTAATAAATCATGAAGAAACACTGTCTGCATGGTTTCAAATTTTAAAAGTAATGGAAATGCTTTTTATATTGATTGTATTGGTTACATACATGTCAAAACTGATCAAATTGCACACTTCAAATATGTGCAGTTTATTTTAATTTCATTTTACCTCAATAAAGCTAGGGAAAAATATTAGATAATTTTAGATTTTGGATAAAAAATAAAGATTTATTTTTTTCAGGGAACTAATCCCATGAAAGCATTGGTTTGGGAAGATTTGACCTATCTGTGCTCTCAGGGTCCACTAGGGAGAGAAGAAATGAAAGGCTAGAAGACAGGTAGAACATTAATTCATATATAGAAGAAACAGGCTGGAATTTGTCTGATGGTGGAGGAATGGAGAAAATGTAAGTTATAAATACTAACATTTACATATTTAACTCTTAAAATATGGTTGCATCATGCATTTAAGTTCCTGGACAGATGCATCTCTCCCAGCTGGTCCCACAAGCAGTTGGATTAGTTGGGAGGAGGTAGAGCCAGGTGGGTTTCCACAGCCAGATGTCCCCTGTGTAAACCTCTTTCCACATTTGATTTTCATCTGGTCACTTAAGCACACTCTGTGTTATGCAATGTGTGTGTGTACTGGGCCAATATTTTGAGCCAAACTTGGGTTTCTCAGGAAACAGCCCTCTCAGCTGCCGGTCCCCGGGCAGTGGCTGAAAAATTATTCCTTCCTGTGTCCTGAGAATTCCACCTGGATAGATGGCAGCTTTTTTCCTTCTACAAGGATATGGTGAAGCATGTCTTTCAGGTTTGTTGGGCAATGTCCTTGATCTCTAAACACTCCGAACCCAGACATGCTTTAGGCTTCCCCCAAAATACAGGTTCCTTTAATTCCCTTATCTCTTCATTATGCTCATGAAGGGACCTCTCTGGCTGGTGCTTCCAGTCTTGCTGTACCACTGGGGATTTCTTATTTTATTATATGCAACCTCCTGTGTCCCCAATCTACATTCAGTGTTAAGCTTTAAATTCCAGTAAAGTCTCCAAGACTTTTTTTGTTCACCCACCTTGCTGAGAAGCTGCCTGTCTGCTTTCTTGGTTTTATTCCCTGGAGAAACCAGGAAAGCAACCTCCTCTATTCTTTCATCATGAAAACCTCCTGCTAAAATTATTTAATGTTTCACCCCAAATATTTCCCATCCCTAGTAATCATAAATGCACAAATCCAAGTAGGCAGAGCCCTTTGGTTTTCTGGAATTGGCTTACTTCCATTTCCATGTGTTGTCTTAAACCCTTCCTGGCACTCCCTGATGCTTCTGTCTACAGAAATGTTCCTTAATACTCAAGGGTATCATTTCTCACCTTCATCAGTCTTCTTTTACTGTCTAGACCACATTTTCTTCTGCCTTTTCTGAATTTTTGAACAAATATTGCTACATGAATTTATAAATTATTGAAATAGCCTTTCCTTATGTCAGATAGTTGTGTCTTATTGCTATATGTTTATTGTAAGCTACTTCAATGAAAAAAATTATTTATTTCCTCCAAAGTACCTAGAATAGTTCATCATTCAAATCTAGATTTGAACTGAATTTAGATTTTATTAATGAATTGTGTTTATTACTAAATAATCCTGAATGAGTATAAATTTGATATGGTTTACATTCGGTGTGATTTAGCTATCTTCCTCTTCTGTAATTTTTGTACCCATCTTTTTTCAGGATACAGTGGTAGCTCTCCAAGCCCTCTCCAAATATGGAGCAACAACTTTCACAAAAAAGTAAGATGGCAGTTTCGGTCACTGTCAAATCTTCTAACACATTCTCTGAAGAATTCCACATAGATGATGACAATCGCCTGCTGCTGCAGGAGGTCATGCTGTCTGAGATTCCAGGGGATTATGACACCACAGTGTTGGGGTCAGGATGTGTGTACCTCCAGGTGAGACTGCCATGGTGTAAGGGATGCTGAGAGAAAGTCTCAAGAGTAAATTCTGAATGTTAAAATAGGAAATGTGTGCTAACAAAAGAAATGAATTGTTTGAAAGTTATTGTTGAATTTTTTGTGTGCAAAGATGAAGTATTTCCCTTTTTTTTTAAGACTTCACTAAGATATAACATCCTTCCCAAGAAAGAAGGGAAAGTTCCCTTCACTCTGCATGTTGATTCTCATCCCAAAATTGTGATGGAGTAGATGCTCACAGGAAATTTCAGATTCATATCAACATTAGGTAAACCCTAAATCACAACTAGACTTTTTTGTAGAATATGAAAACTTTTTTTTCCTTGTATTGGGGGAACTCTATTGTCCAAATTAATTATGTAATGGGTATGGAAGTCTTGTAATATGTATTTATAAGAAAATTGTCTTCACCCTTACTGAAAAGCCTTAACCTTAATAATATATTGCCATAACTGAAGAGTAGAGTTGACAAGGGTGGGTTTGTCAAAGAACAATAACACAGATACAGTAGATAGAGAAACTGAGTGGTACAAATAAACAAGGGGAAACTTCTATCTTCAATCAATTCCAAGGAATTTTATTTGAAGGTTTATCACTCTGCCTTACTTCATAGTTACACTGGCGAAAGACCCAGATCCAACATGGTTATTGTGGATTTGAAGATGATATCAGGCTTCAGTGAAAAAGGTAAACCCAAAATGTCTTACAGATAGCAATCCCATGATAAATTGTGATATTTACATTGTCAACTTGATTTTACTAATGTCCTGGATCTTGCAGCTCTAAAGTATATTCCCATAGTTTTAGTGTGGGTTGGAAGATTATATGATATCAGTTAAGGTAAAAGTCATAAAAATGAAAAATAATGTTCTAGAAGGCTTAGACATCTAGGTATGTGCAGATATACTGAGTTACCTTCCAACTACACAAAAAGAAAAAAAGAGGGTATATAAGTTAACTGTCACATATACCTATAGGATATAAATGTATATTCAATATATGGATATATGAGAGGAATAGGATCAATAAATATTATCATTATTGTTATTCCTGAAGAAATAAAAAGTAGTAATTTGAATGCTCCAGAGAAGTCATTTTGATGATAAATACCTAAAAACTGCTCTCAGTATAGAATTTCTTCATGTTTCTGGCTTATCCCCTTTGTCCATAGCTTCAAGAACAGCCTGAGATTCAAAGGACTGAAGTGAGGACCAATCCTGTCCTAATCTACCTTAGGAAGGTAAGACTTCATAAGACTCTGCTAGGTCTGTAAAACTAATAGAAGTTTTAATAAGTCTATCCAGACTCCAAATAATGCTTTTCACATACACAATGAGGAAGGACAAAAGAGTCACAAAGGGAAATGGGACAACTGGTCAGCGAGGTTCACTTTGCTCCATTTGACTGCCACAGAAATTTTGTCCTTCTTTTTATGTCATTGGGTATGTTAAGCAAGTCACAAAATTCCCCATTCTTTCTTAGATTTTGATAGGGATATAAAGTACAGTTATGGGATTTGGTAATATTTTAAGAAAAGGAGATGGTAACAAGTAAAAAAGCTAATGTTTGATTCCAACTCATTTTTCCTGTCTCTCCAGCTAACCAATCAAGCCCTGAGTTTCTCCTTCTTGGTGGAACAAGACATGCAAGTAAAGAATTTAAAACCAGCTATAGTAAAAGCCTATAATTATTATGAGACAGGTGAGTGAGATTTACATATGCTGAGCTTTAATACAAAAAACTAACACCGTAAACAGTTGCATTAACTGATATGAAACTCCAAGATATTTCACTGGAAGAAAAGGCAAGTTTTGGTCACTAAAAAATCATGTCCCTGTATATTAATCTCACATTTGCTCCCTAAGAAAGTTTTCTTGACACATGAAAACTCCCTGTGTTTGCAACAAGAGGAAGCAATTAGTGATAAAGGCACATCTTAGCCACTGGACACATGTGGCCACTTCTACTTCCCATCTCTTCAGAGGAAGTCTACTCAACCCTCGCATTCCCCCATTTGTAAAGAAACCAGAAAGAGCTAATCAAACAAATCCTCCACTTGCATCTCTTGATATGTATGAGGAAGAAAAATGCAGCAGTGTTCAGGGGATATTCACCTGTGTTTTTTCCCCACACTGATCCCCTCGTTTTGTTGGTTGGTTTGGCTGGTAAGTTGGTAGGTCTCCTAAGAAATTTTGTCTCCAAATAAATCCAGAGCCCAAGCTGTGAACTTCATTACTCTTTTATGCCTGAAAGGAGAAGGGTCCAGGAACACTTGAGGGAACTCATATTCTAAGCTCAGGTGTCCGTGAAATCAATACCTGAAAAAGGATAAGCCTGGAATCACTATGGTTAAATTATTGGAAAATCAATTCCTGAACCCAGAGAGAGAAATCTAGGATTTGAGGCAGAGTTGGATTAGGGAAAGTGAACTCTTAGGAAGTGAGACCACTCTTCTGCTACCAGACTCCTCCCTTGGCTTTTCCTGGCTCTTCTCCTGGTTTCCTCTAATGCTATAGCCGCAGAGGTGAAAGCCAGCCAGACAAGTATACATGTGTTCACATGTGCTGTGTGCATATGTGTGTGTGTGTGTGTGTGTGTGTGTGTGTTATACATGCATGCTCAGGTGCATGGATGTGTACATAATAGGCATGAGTATCTGTTGGTGGGGAAGGTTGCAAGGCTGTGTGTATGCATGTGTGCCTGCACACCTGTGCACATACATTTGTTTGTGTATGTGTAGGTGTGTGTTAATTTGGAGTGTAAGTCAAGGAAGGAATGTACCCTTCTTTTGCAGAGGAATCTTATTCTCACTATCCTTCTATGCAAAAGGAAACATGAAAAAAAACACCACTTCACCTTTAAGAAAAATTATGAAAATAAAGTAATATAGTTCTTTTTATTATCCACACATTCAATCAAGACCCAGCCCCATTCATGGAGAGCAGAGGGGCCAACCTTGCAGCCTGGATAGCAGCATTTATCCCCCTGCAATTGCTCTCCCTTTCCTGTGCTACTGGATAGACCTCCATTTCCCACCCCAGCAAAAAAAGGACTAAAATGTGCTGAGGATTCTCTCAGATGAATGAGTTGAACAGAGGGGGTATAGAGAAGGGGGCAAATGCCCCATTCACTTTGGGCTATTGACTTTGATGCCTGTGGAAGAAGAATTTAGCTTCTGGACTTGCATCTGATACTCCTCCTGGGGGTGAGGACAGGGCTCTCAGACTGCAATGCCCCTAGGGGGGCCTGGACTCAGAATAAGGGGATTAGTTGTGCAAAATCAAGTCAGGTCCCTCCCAATCATATATCCTGACCTTATCTGAGCCACACCTCCCCTGAGGTCTTTCAACTAAACCCTCCAAATGTAATGCCCAGTTTCCTTGTTCCCTCCCCCTGATCAAAATCCATATTTCTCCACATTTACTCCTCTTCTTCAAATTTAGAATAGCTTCCTCAATATTGATGTGATTAGCAAGGTACATTGGGAGAAACAAAGGGCATCTTTAGTACAGAGACAGCCAGTATCTGCATTTCCTAGAGCTTCCATAACAAAGTACTGAAACTTTGTGTGACTTTAAACAGAAATGTACTCTCTCATAGTTCTGGAGGCTAGAATTCTTAAATCAAGGTGTTAGCAGGGTCATTTTTCTTCTGAAAGCTGTTGGGAAGGATCCTTTCTTGCTTCTTTCAGCTTCTAGTGGCTTGCTAGCAATCATTAGTGTTCCTTGGCTTGCAGTATTAGAGAAACAATGATCTAAAAATACTTATTAAAGCATGGGAAGATACTTTATCCAGGACCATCATAATAGGTATAGAGACTATTGCAATAGGGTCTTAGGCTGGGGCAGAGGACAGGGAGAGACTTTACTCAACTCCAAAAATCATGAAAGCAAGTAGGAATTCATAGCCAAGCAGCATGGGACAATGTGTATAGAACATTATTAAGAAGAAATATCAGGGTTGAGGGTGAGTCTGGCTAAACTAACAGGATTCTTGTTGGAGATAGACCAGAGTGGGCAGATATCACCCAAGAATGATAGAGGATGAGGACGCTGATCAGAAATGAAGGATGATCAGATATTGGAGAATGGGATGTTCTTGCTAAACTGACATAACAGGGTTCTTTGCCAGCACAGGATTTGACAAGGAGGAGCCCAATGGGTCTAGGACAGCTCAGGAGCCATAAAGAAGACTGGCCAGAAAATCTTGTTCAAGAAAAAAAAAGAGATTTCTTTTTAATAATACAACTCCATATTCTCATTGACTACCTTCTATTTATGAGGACCCACAAACCATATGTAGGATTTGGTAACAGAGGATATTTGCTGTTTGATGCTCACAATCAGGCATTTAATGAGGAGGAATTCCCATGAAAGTAAAGAAAAACAGTGGGAATTCCAGTGTCTGAATCCAGAGGGAATCCAGCTGAGATTTCTCAATGTTAGACTCTAGGATGACAGTGACAATCCAACAGATGCCCTGGTTTACCATTTGAATATCTCTGGGGATGACATCAGATGTTCTGATTAACTTTCTGAGTGGCTCACAGAATGACCAACTCTCTTTATTATCTAGAACACATCTAAAGGATTGTTCCACATGTTAGCCACATCAGAAATCTCTCAAGTGAGTATGATTTACCTTTGTATTTAGCCATTTCTATTCTACTACAATTATGCTCTAAGCCAAAGCTACATCTAACTCTTCTACCAAAATACAAAGGACCCATGTGAAAAAGTCTTCCTGATTTTTCCTATAAGTTCATAAACTTATTCTGTATTCTAATTACTATTTGACTTTATTTTATTTTATAATATTTTATATTTGCAGTAGTGAGGATTGAATTCAGGGCATCAAACATGTTAGGAAGCATGTTGCCACTCAACAAGACCCCAGGCTTTTTATTTTATTATGAGATAAAGTCTTTTACGTCACCAATGTTGGTTTCAAAATTATGATCCTCTTGCTCCAGCCTCCAGAGTAGCTGGGATTACAGGCCTGCCTAAGGATGCCTGGCTCTAATTGTTATATATATATATATTTGCATAGGTTAAGAGCAGAGAAACTTGTGAGTTTTCTTCATTTTTTTCTTTTCATAATAAAATCTTATAGTATTAATGCTTTTAAACTCTGTACCTTCACAACTTTTAGTTGAGCACATTGGGCATTAACAGGAACCAGGTTCACTTCTGAGCTGCTAAGAGGTGACCTGCTGCATGGGATACTGGGTTCTGTGTTCTCTAGAAAGGTAAGAATAAGGAAGAAGTGTAATACAGAATTGACTATCTGATTCTTCATTTTTCAATCTACTGAACATTAACCTACATTAATTAGGCCAAATATATTCTTCTGGATAATGGCAAGTATGCTTTTACATTGACTTTTTCTAGATTGAATGTTTGATAGTTGCTGAGTAACTGAATGTGTCAGTATTTCTATTTCTTTTCTTGCTTTCTGATCTTCTATCTCTTGTGGTGGGGGGCAGTAGCTATGATGAGAACTTCCTCTTTCCACAGCTTTGGGGTTTTTTAACAAAGTTGCTTCTCAACGCTTTCTGCCTCTTTTTCTGGGGTTGAAGTAGCATGTTTTTCCTTCCTGTACCCTGACTTACATGACATCCAAGTCTAACACTAAAGAAAGATTCAGAATATGTCTAACCTCCAAAGGAAACACAAATGTCAGAATTAGAAGGGAACACCATGTGCAGTAGTGAACACCTGCAATCCCAGAAACTTGGGAGGCTGAGGCAGGATGACTGCAAGTTCAAGGACAATACAGGCAATTTAGCAAGACCCTGTCTCAAAATAAATATAAAAAGGGGCTTGAAGTCCTAGCTCAGTGGTAAAGTGCCCATGAGTTCATCCCCCAATGCCACAATTTAAAAAGACAAAAAAAATATCATTAGTGTGTCATTGTTGGTTCTTTGCTAACTGAAGACGAAAAATTTTGATAGTTCTATAGAACTTTTCTAGTTCCCCCAGTGCTGGGGATTGAACCCAGAACCATGCTAAACCAGTGTTCTACAATAAGCTATGCCCCCAGTCTACTGAGGCTCAGTGGTTGAGTGTTCCTGAGTTCAATCCCTAGTACCAAAAAAAAAAAAAAAAAAAGAAAGAAAATAGAAAAGAAGGCCAGAGTTTCTCTGATCATTACCAATATCTATTTTTGTTTATCCTATGAATGAATCCCCTCCTCAGCATTATCTCATTTAAAATCTCAGCAACTTGAATCCAAAATCTATACCTGCCATTATCCTTAACCTCACAGCTGTGCAATCCATGAATTTAGATGGTGTATTGTCTATATTAAAATGTTCTCTTCATGAGAAAAGAAAAAGTTAATTGGATAACAGTAATTATGCAAACACTCAAGCCTTTGCAACATTCCAGAGCTTTTGCATGGCTCTCACCTTCCTTCATGCACCCTCACAGTTCTAGTGGCCATTCATTTCTTTGTGCTGCCATTGTGACAGATTGAGGAAACCTGACCAGAAGTTTGTAACTTTCTTAATGTCTTCACCATATGAGAAGCAAGGCTGTATAATTTGAGTTATTCTGGTTTTTCCAAGTTCTCCCATTTTGGGGACCCTACAAAACAGTCTTGGCAGTCTTTCTGCAAGAGCTGTACCAATTATTTACTTCATGAGGCAGGCTGGGAAGGGCCTTGCAACTGTCAGTGTTTGGCCTGTGCTCTGCTCATCATAGCCATTTCCTGATTTCTATAAATGTGCTGTATAGGCTCCATCTAAGTACCAAGTATTTTCCACTAAAGAAAAATAAAGAAAGTTGTATCCAGGGTCAGGGCTTCTAATTGCAGCTGGTTTCAGCAAAAAGTGAGGCACTAAGCAACTCTAAGACCCTGTCTCTAAATAAATACAAATGGGGGACTGGGATTGTGGCTTAGTGGAAGAGTGCTCACCTAGCATGTGTGAGGCCCTGTGTTCAATCCTGCACAGAACATTAAAAAAAAATAAACAAAATAAAGATATTGTGTCCAACTACAACTAAAAAATAAATATTTTTTTAAAATAAAATGAATACAAAATAGGGCTGAGGATGTAGCTCAGTGGTTGAGTGCTCCTGAGTTCAATTCCTGGTACCCCCTCAAAAATAAAAACCCAGGGGATATTTATCCCTGAGCTACATCCACATATCTACTTATTTATTTTATTTATTTACTTATTTATTTATGTATTTGTCTTTTAGTACTGGGGAATCCAGCAGTGCTTTACACTTAACTACATCTTCATTATTATTTTTGTTTTTCCAGACAGGTTCTTACCGAATTGTTGAGGCTGGCCTCCAACTTGTGGTCCTCCTGTTTCAGCCTCCCAAGTTGATTATTTTTCCAGGTTTTATTACAAATCTTTTATATCAAAATGGCAAAATGGTGATAAAAGAAAAGAAAAAAAAGAGAAGATGCCAGATGTGGTGGCACATGCCTGTAATTCCATTGTTTCAGGAGGCTGAGACCAGGAGATTGAAAATTTAAGGCTAGCCTGTGCAACTTACAAAGAACCTGTCTCAAAATTAAAAAAAAAAAAATGGGGCAGGGGCTGGGAATTAGGTCAGTGGTAGAACTTCTCTGGGTTCAATTGCTAGTACTGCAAAACATAAATGAACATAAATTTTTTTTTTTAAAAAAGGACTCCAAGCATATATCAGTGGGAGTGTACAGCACTCACCTAGCATGTGGAAGGGAGTGGGTTCAATACCCAGAATAATAATACCGTTAATAATAATAATAAAGCCAACTCATAGAAATTCTTTACTCTCATTTTAGATAACACAGGCATATCCAGTTCACAGAATAATTGGATTAGCCTGAACCAAAATGTAAATCTGCCTTTGGAGGATGTTGTTAACAGCATGAGCTTTGAAGAGACCCTGAGTTCAGTTCTACAATTTTTAGCTCAAGATGCACAATATATGGACTGCCTGCAACATCTCCACAGCACAAAGACAATTAAAAAAGGCTTCCTAAAGCACTGCAGTGCTTCTCCACATTCAGGTATTGTATGGGGCTCATTGATGTGATCGTTTTCCTTAATATACCTAAAAACAAATGCACTGACATTGCATGTGGGTCAAACAATACAGAAGTGTCTGGTGTACAGTGCAAAAGTGTCCCTCAGTCACTTCCATTTCATTTCATTTCACTCCCATTTTATAACCACTGTTAGAGTTATGTGGATGTCATTCAACTCTCCTTCCATACTTATTCAGTCATGTTATTCAAAATTTTTGCATCCATGAGATAATACTAAAACATTTTGTAATTTGCAAAACACCTATTTAATAGAATAAGTATAAAATACTTATGCATTCTTCCATTATGAACATTAGTTTAAAATCCAACAACAGCCAGGTGTGGTGGTGCATGCCTGTAATCCCAGTGGCTCGAGAGGCTGAGGCAGGAGGATCACAAGTTTGAGGCCATATTCAGCAATTTAGCAAGACTCAGCAACTTAGGTAAGACCCTGTCTTACTAAAAAATAAAAAAGATCAGGCATGTAGCTCATAGTAAAATATCCCTGGGTTCAATCCCTAGAAAAGAAAGATCTGGGTGAAGGAGGTGTACCTATTGTCCCAGCTACTTTGAAGACTGAGGCAGTAGCATAGCTAGTTCCAGGCTAACCTGGGCAACAATGAAACCTTGTCTCAAAGTGGAAATTTTTAAAAAGGAGGTATGCTGGGGGGGATAGCTCAGTGGTGGAGTGTTTGTCTAGCACACACAGGGCCCTAGGTTATATCCCTAGTAATGTGAAGCACACACACACACACACACAAAATCACAAACAAAAAAAGGGGAGAGGGGAAGAATAAAGAAAACATAAGTGAATTAATTTTAATTAATTTGTACCTTTTATGAAAGTATTCCACAATTTTGAAAATGGACTTTCCCTTTCCTCTCTGCTTTCCACCAATATACAACATTGATACAAAAATCAAATACATTCTCATGTGTCTGTTGGTTTTATTCACAGATCTTGTCACTCACAAAGAACCAGCTATGCCACGGAGCCAAAGTCCAGAGCATTCACCCGAGTGTCCTCGTGAAGATGAAGGAAAGGAGGAGCGCAACTGGAGAGAAGAAGCCAAAGAAGAAGAAGAAGAAGAAGCGAAGCTAAAAGACACCCTGAAAACTGCAGAGGAACATGAGGAGCTGTGTCCCAGGAAGAGACCAGTCAGCAAATCCCTCATGGACACTCTTTGGGCAAAGTTTAAATTAAGCGCGTGCCCCACAGTACAAGACAGGCTGTCACTCTCATTTGAATTCAGCATGACAGATAAACAGGTATAACGACCTATTTCTTCACAGACAAAGTCACTTCTGTAGCACTATTATGCATATAACCAGAATCTTGATTCCTGTACTAATCACCCCACCTGCCTCATTTTTTGCAGATACAACAATGGTTTTCTAAAAAGAGGAAGAAGTACATGAAAGAACTGTCTGAGCAAAAGCGCAGCAAAAGACTCAAGAATAAAAAAGCTTCCACACATAAAACTTCTAAGTTGCAATGAAGGAAGAAGGACTATATTGACTGTCAGTTCTATTTGTGTTTCCAAAGTAACTGAGGGTCCTGTCACTCTTTCATGTCGCAGCCAGGGGCACAAAAACAATTTGATTTACTGCTCATTTTACATGTAGTCGTATATCACACATACGCTATAGGCATTCGATTTTTATTGTCTTGTTTTGCAGTAAGGGAGATTGTACCTAGGGCTTCGTACATCAGTGGGCACTTAAGTGCTGCATTATTGAGCTACACCCTCAAATCTTAGATTTTTATTGATTGCAGTACAGAATTACATCAGCTGAAGTCCCAAAGTTCTGAAGTTCAATTGCTGTGTTAGTGAGCCAGAGTGCCAAATAATCCTCTCACTTTTTTTTTTTTTTTTGGTACCAGTGAATTAACTCAGGGCGCTTAACCATTGAGCAACATCCCCTGCCCTTTTTTATTTTTTATTTTGAGACAGGGTCTCCCTAACTTTCTTAGGTCCTTGCTAAATTGCTGAGGCTGGGTTTGAACTTGGGATCTTCCTGTCTCGGCCTCCTGGAGCCACTGGGATTACAGGGGTGCACCATCACACCCAGCTTCCTCTCACGTCTTAAAACCTTGGAGGGTCTGCTGTGCATCTCTCTGCCTTTTGGCTAGAAAGCCACACTACTACATCTGTCTTGGCAAGTACAGGCTATCCTGTAACCTACACCAAGGGTGTGGAGATAGATAACATTTTTTGAGACTGTCCCAGGCAGACACTACCCTCAAAGATGGCAAAGTAGTAGCCACCTGGGTGGAGCCCTTATAGTATCAGATATCCAGGAAAATCTCATATTAGCCCTTGAAGAAACTAAGAAGGAATTCACTGCCATTGTTGTTTTTTTTTAAATATTTATTTATTTATTTGTTTTTTTTTTTTTTAGTTGTAGTTTTTGTCAATACCTTTATTTTATTTATTTTTTATGTGTGCTAAGGATTGAACCCAGGGCCTCGCACATGCTGGGCGGGCGCTCTACCACTGAGCCCCAGACTTAGCCCTTCACTGCTACACAGTTTGAAGCAGCGATTTATTGGAAGAATTTATATAGGTAAGCCACAGCTTCCCTCTAGCAGGCCAATTAAGTCTTCTGAGGTATTTATGGGACAGTTTCAGAACTGACCTAAGTGACTGTGTAGATAATTCTGTTAGCTCCATACTAATTCATTCTATGCTTTTCTCTGGGACCGAGCTGTTCTTGGTATGTTCTTTGAATCATAGCTATTTACAGCAATATTCAAATTAAATGGAAACATTTCATGATATTTCCTTATTTTTGGAAAGTTTAGCAATATCAGTGATAATAAGAATTTTTATTCCTTGTATTAGCAGATAAATATTGTTATTTTGAGTCATAACTCCTGGTTTTGTCAAAGAACTCAAGATGAGATTTATGGTCATTTGACTTTGTAACTTAATTTGAGTATCCTATAAATTTTGATAGTCTCATTTTATTTTTTACTCTTATTGAGTCATTTACTGATGTGTACAACTGTTACCTTGTAAAATCAATAAACTACTTGTTGCAGTTTTTGTTGTTGTTTTTCTTTGGGTTTGAGGAGGGCATTGTTTTTGGTACTGGAAATTGAGCCCAGGGGCACTAACCATTGAACCACATCCCCAGCCCCCCCCCCTTTTTTTTTTTTAATTTTTATTTATTTTTTTGTACTGGGAATTGAACACAGGGGCTCAGTCTATTTTTTTTTTAAGAGAGCGAGAGAGAGAGAATTATTTTAATATTTATTTTTTTTAGTTTTCGGCAGACATAACATCTTTGTTTGTATGTGGTGCTGAGAATCGAACCCAGGCCGCACGCATGCCAGGCGAGCCACGCTACTGCTTGAGCCACATCCCCAGCCCCCAGCCCCCAGCCCCCCCCCCCGCCTTTTAATATTTATTTTTTAGTTGTAGTTGGACACAATACCTTTGTTTATTTATATGTGGTGCTGAGGATCAAACCCAGGGCCACTCATGTGCTTAGGCGAGTGCTGTACCATTGAGCCACAACCCCAGCCCTCCCCCACAGCCCTTTTTTTGTATTTTATTTTAGAGACAGGGTCTTGCTGAGTTGCTTAGGGCCTTACTAAATTGCTGAGGCTGGCTGTGAACTCAATGATCCTCCTGCCTCAGCCTCCCAAACTGCTGGGATTATAGGCATGTACCACCAGGCAGCAGGTTGCAGTTTTAAACAACAAAACAAAAAACACCTTGGTTTATCACTGTGGCTCACATCTATAATCCCAGCTACTCAGGAGGGAGAGGCAGGAGGATCACAAGTTCAAGGCCAACCTCGGCATTTATAGAGAACTTGACTAAAAAATAAGAATTTTTAAAAAGAGCTGGAATATAGAGCAGCAGTAAAGCACCCTTGGATTCAATCCCTAGTACCAATAATGATAATGATAATAATAATAATAATAAACTATGAGCTGATGTTGTGACTCAGTTGTAGCGTGCTTGCCTAGCATGTGTGAGGCACTGGGTTTGATTCTCAGCACCACATATAAACAAATAAATGAATAAAGGTCCATCAATAACTAATAAAATTTTTTAAGTGCACATTTAATAATATATATATATATATATATATATATATATATATATATATATAATTTTTTAATTTTTTTTTTTTTTTTTTTTAGTTTTTGGCGGACACAACATCTTTGTTTGTATGTGGTGCTGAGGATCGAACCCGGGCCGCACGCATGCCAGGCACGCGCGATACTGCTTGAGCCACATCCCCAGCCCCCAAATATATTTTTGATAATTGTCTTTCCTCGCTATTGGTGATTTTGGAAGGAATTAAGATACAAACAATATCAACTTTTTCCCCAAGTACTGAGAATTGAACTCAGGGCCACTCTACCACTGCATTATATCCCCAGCCCTTTTAATTTTCTATTGTTTTTGTTGTTTTCTTTTTGGTACTGGTGATTTAATACAGAAACCCTCTAGGTACTGGCAGAGGTGGTCCAGGTACTACCAGGTAAATCCCCAATCCTTTTTATTTTGAAACAGGACTTGCTAAGTTGCTGAGGCTGGACTCAAAATTGAAATCATGTTGCCTCAGCCTCTTTTTTTTTTTTTTTTAAGAGAGAGATAGAGAAGAGAGAGAGAGAATTTTTTTTTTAATATTTATTTTTTTAGTTCTCGGCGGACACAACATCTTTGTATGTGTTGCTGAGGATCGAACCCCGGCCGCACCCATGGCAGGCGAGCGCGCTACCGCTTGAGCTACATCCTCAGCCCTAGAATTCTTATATATTATTTATATATATTTATGTACTATCGTAGTTTATAAATTTTGAGCAGAATACCATGTACCATTATCAATCCAAGGGAAACAGAACACAAAATATCAATATGTCAATGAGGAACGGAAGCCCAAACCCTTCCACCCATTGTATCTCAGTATTGGAGTGCCGTGAAACACCACACAGACACAAGATGCATCAACACTTTACTTACAATGAGATGAGACAGAGCAAGATCAGCTTCAGTATCATGCATTGAGAGCTCAGTGTGTAGCTCAGTGGTGCAACGCTTGTTTAGCATGTCAGAGGCCCTGGGTTTGATCCCCAGATCCACAAAAAAAAAAAGGAAAAAAATATGTGCAGTTCCCATAGCAGTTGCTACTGGCAGCTAGCTCAGGGTAATTAATTATGTACATCCTCTCCTAACCCAATAAAAGGACCAGTCCCCTCCTCTTAGAGGACAATTATGGCATTTGACACAAATTCTTAAGCAAAACAAAGGAACATGCATTCAGTTTGCCACTGAGGAAAGATATTCCCACTCAAGGTGATGAGCCTCTGGGTCTCACTTTGTCCTTTCATGTATTCACTTCAAAAGCTGTGTTTTTCATTGTAATCTGGGAAATATTCCATGCTCCACCAATTTGTGTTTCACATGTAGTGTTTACACACTCTTAATGTTCTCTGGTGTGAGATATATATAGATATATATATATTTTTTTCTACACCCATACCTTCCTTATCTCTGATCTTTTTTTTTTTTTTTCCTTTTTAGGGAGAGAGAGAGAGAGAATTTTTTAATATTTATTTTTTAGTTTTCAGAGGACACAACATCTTTGTTTGTATGTGGTGCTGAGGATCGAACCCAGGCCGCACACATGCCAGGCAAGCGAGCTACCACTTGAGCCACATCCCCAGCCCCAACTTCTGATCTTTTTTTTCCTTTAACAACACTTGGGATGGAACACAGGCTTCTACACACTAGGCATGTGCTCTACCACTGAGCCTACCTCTTTGACATTTTCACATGTGTTTTAGGAAGAGCCCTGCATTTTTCAATGGAAATTATTTTCCAGATCAAATATCTGTTGATATATGTTAAATACATGGACAGTGTTATGAAACATCTGTCTGACACCATTCTCATGTATAAATGAAAAAGTAACTCATTAATTTTGTATAGTAGAACAAACAAGAAATAAGGTATGATAGAACTAGGTGAGGAGATTCAAAGGAATTTCTAAACATGGTATTTTTACCCTATTGTGGATCTGAAGTTTTTATTATGTGTGTTCATTGATTTTATTTAAGAAAAAATCAATAAAGAAATTACCAACCTCTGTGGAAATAAATTTAATGGGTTTAATGCATTTCGAAAACTGTCATGCACCTCTGAACAACCCTTTCTACCTTCTCTGCAAACTTGATAGTGCTCCTGATTTTGTTTGGGGTGTGTAATAAATTAGAGGACCAAATTTCTTCAGTTTTTTACAGGAGCAAGTTAGAGGGTGAAATAAGGAAGGCAGGGAAGACAAGAAGATATCAATGGATGTGATAATGACTGATAAAATAAATTAGGGGTCA